GCGGGAAGCAGCCCGATCTTAGTGGCCTGCCTGAGGTTCTTCATTATAAAAATTAGTTCTTGTTCATATAATCCCCATGGAGGGGAGTTAAACCCCAAATTCCGTCTAAAATTTGCGGCCTAACCGGTGTGCGGCGGGCGCACAGAGTGGGGTGGAGGGGCTGAGGAAGGGCAGATCCGTGAAGTTTCGGGTCAGTTTCCTTCTAACGCGTCAATTTTTGGGTTTTGTTGGTGGTGCAGCATTTCAGGGCGAGGCGCCATGTCCGAGGAGTACGACCACGAGTGGGAGCTGAGCAAGGAGAACGTGCAGCCCCTGAGGCAGGGCCGGCTGATGTCCAGCTTGCAGGAGGCACTGGCTCACCAGAACTCCTCCAGCCACACTGCTGTGCAGCTCAAAAAACAGTGAGTGATCTTACACCACCTCCTTTCTCCTTCTCCTCCTCCATCCTCCTCGTTTTTTCTGTGTCTTATTTAACTGTACTAATCTCATCGGCATTAAAAAGGCATAAAAGAAGTTTAATAAGTGATGTCTCACACTCCAGGTGTTCCGGGCTACTCACTGTAGCTGCTCTGTGGTACAGACTGCAACTTGTGGGTGTGCAGTGGTGCATTTAAACAGCAAACGCTATGGAGATTCAGTTGTGCCTTTAATGATAGTCATTAAGTCTTAGTTTAGAGAGTAGAAAATATATTTACGGTGATCCATGTGTGTTTATTGGGTGGAAATCTTTATCTTTCAGGGAGTTTGAATCAGAAATCCGATTTTACTCCGGAGATGATCCTCTGGATGTGTGGGACCGGTAAGTTTCCTCGTATTTCAGGAAAAAGATTGGAAAGGTCACATATCCTTGTAAAAGTGTGGGGGAAAACATTCTAATTTAATAAGAAACTCATTAAAAATGATTTTCCACAACCTCTTTTTTTAGTGATTTGTTGTGTTTTAATACTATGCCCGTTATTTGTTCTGAATCTCCTTATGTTGGATGGGAAGTTGCTCAGCACTGACTTCCTGTGAATATGTTCCTTCTCTAGATACATCAAGTGGACGGAGCAAACCTTCCCCCAGGGCGGGAAGGATGGCAACCTGGCCGCGATCCTGGAGAGGGCAGTGAAAGCCCTCTATGAGCAGCAGCGGTACTACAAAGATCCTCGCTACCTTCGGCTCTGGCTCAAGTTTGTGAGTGCTTTGTGGCTCTCTCCCGGGTGTGGCTTGTTCTTGGGACTTTGCACAGGCCTAAGCTGAGTTTTGTGACAGCAGAGTCAAAGGATGTTGTACAACCAGTGCAATGTTAGATGTATCTCTCTGCAAACATGTCACTCTTGAATTCTACTGCTCGTTTTCTGTAGGATCTTCAGACTGTTTTAGGGTCATTCTCTTTGGATAGCTGCAAACTCCAGAAGTTTTGTTTTGGAAAGCATGGTTTGAATAAACAACCATTTGTTTAAAGAGAAAGGAAGGTTACTTAAAGATGTATTTTAGGTGTAGTATCTGTCCTACCACTTATTTTAGCTTCTCATGGTCTGCATCCCCATCCTGTGTTTTAGCAAAACTAAGCTGAGCGTGTTCTGGTCCTGCCCTGCCTCTCCTTTCTGGTATACTTGTTGTTCTCGTTGTCCTAAAGCATCATTTCTCCAGGTTTAGCTGCCTGAGCTGATTTGCCGCTTCCAGACCAGATAAGGAATATGTTGTACTTACCTAAAGATAAAATAATTGTTCTCAGGAATATTAATATGACACAGAACAAATCACTGAATTACCTCAGAATCAAATAAAAATCTGAGAAAGGGTAAAATCCCCTCCCCTGGCCTTAGAGCTGCTCCCACCAGGCCTGTATGGAATTCGGTGGTGGTTTGCTGGAGGCATCACAGCACAGGCATCGGGTGGAATCCTTTGCAATCCAACGTGGTTATTGACATCCTTGGGTTGTTCCAGGGAAACTACTGTACCGAGCCCTTGGATCTGTACAGCTACCTGCGCAGCCAGGAGATCGGCACCTCGCTGGCACTGCTCTACATCACCTGGGCAGAAGTACTGGAGGACAGAGGGAGCTTTAAAAAAGCAGATCTGATATTCCAAGAAGGGCTTCAGTGCAAGGCCGAGCCTTTGGACAAGCTCCAGTCCCACCACAGGTAAGGGAAGAACTTACTCCTAGGTTCTTCCCTGGGTTCCTGGTACAGGGAAGGTTATGCTGAGTTCTGCCGTGTTTTTGCAGGCAGTTTCAGGCCCGTGTGTCTCGGCAGGCACTGCTGGCACTTGAGCAAAGTCCAGATGGAAATGATACAGGTCTGCTGGAAGTTGCAGAGCCTCAGAGAAGCTCATTGGCAGATCTCAAAGGCAGAGGGAAGAAAACAGTGAGAGCCCCAATTTGTCGTGTGGGAGATGCTCTTAAAGGTACATTGCAGAGCTGAAACAACCTATTGTTGGAAGTGTTACATCTTTTTGTCATGGAATTTGCAACAGAATGTGACAGCTGGAGGGTAGTTTACATAAATCTTTTTCCTCATAGCCACGAACCCAACCAGAAGGCTCCAGCCCCAAACTTCTCAGCAGCTATCAAATACTGCTGGGTTTGTTGTGTTCGATGAAAATTCAGCGTCTGGGCCCGCGATTCCCATGCCTTCATCACAGTCCTGGGCAGCACCTCCAGCTCCCAGGGCCAAGGAGAATGAACTCAGTGCGGGACCTTGGAACTCTGGCAGGGTAAGGAGGCTCAGAATGACTGGGAAAAGAGGAAGGTGTGTGTATGCTGATAACCTCTGATCCCTGAGACAGTGGTCATGTCTTTCTCCCTTGCCTGGGGTTTGTGTCTATTTGTAATACAGATTTAATCATAGAATCCTGGAATGGTTTGGATTGGAAACAACCTTAAAGTCCATCCAATCCCATGCCCTGCCATGGGACACTTTCCACTAGCTCAGGTTGCTCCAAGCCCCATTCAACCTGGCCTGGAGCCCTTCCGGGGATGGAGCATCCACAGCTTCTCTGGGCAACCTGTGCCAGTGCCTCAGCACCCTCACATGGAAGAATTCCTTCCCAATGTCTAATCCAAGCTCACCCTCCTTCAGCTGAAGGCTGTTCCCCCTCCAAGCCCTTGTGAACAGTCCCTCTCCTGAAGATTCCCTGGCTATGGGTAACCTATTGCAGTTTAGCAAGCTGATATTGCTAGAAGTTTACAAAACTCTCTGGAATTAATCAAGAAACTATTTCTTGCTAATCAGAAAAGTTAGTAGAGGTGTCGTGCCAAACTGTGTGGAGGGCAGGAAAGGAATGTAAGAGGGAAAACACTAGCCAAGGAAAGGGAGAAAGCCAGGCATGAGTTAAGTCTGTAGGAAAGAAGAGTAAGAGTTAAATGATACCATAAAATACAACCTGAAGGAAGGGCTGGTGGCCTGTGTTATGAAATGAGGCATGTGCAGCATTCTGTGTGTTAGGAAGTGCTTGTGAGAGAACAGGAGAGTGGAGATCAAAAGAATTGTACCAATGGAATACTTACCCTGCCAGTTGATGACAGAAAGTAGATTCCAATGGTCTAAAGTAATGCAGGAGACATGGAAAGAAACAGCTGTGCTACAGGTGTTTAAGCTCTTCTAGGGAAATGATCCAAGGCATTATCTGAAGGGAGTTAATCCTGTGAAATCCTAGGTACTCAGTTAACTCCCAGTGTTCTTTCGAGCTTAGAGAGGAAGAATAGAAAGTAATCAGACATTAAAAATATTATAGTTGTTATAAGTGAAGCCTGGAAACAAAAACTAGGATCAGGGGAGGGATGCAAATAGGCTAAAATTGATGGGAACTCCAGGAATATTACTCTGATACAAAGCAATTTGATGAAATGGATGGAGAAGTTCAGTAAATCACAGGTTTAATTTAGCTGAGAAGAATGAGGAGGAATTATTAATGTGAAACTTCTTTTATCAGTTGCTTTGGGCTGCTGAATACATTCATTCTGGTCTCCAAAAGCTTTCATATGTCTTTTAATGCCTGCCCTCAGAGTTCTCTCTGTTCCCTCTTAATGAAAACTGTTCCATTTAATTTAAGAAAAAAAAAATATATCCTGCTAGTAGCAGACGAGTTGAGGATGTTTAATTCCCCCTCACTGAAGGGTACTGAAAGAATAACTTGGGTTAATGCTATGAGCTAATACAAGTTGCACAGAGGAAAGAGGTTTCTCTTTTACTGCTGGAGTAAATAGTTTGGAAAATGATGGAGTTGGTTTGTGAAGTATTCCCACCATGTAACTTTTTGTGCTGAAGAGTCATGGGGAATTTCAAACAGGGAGATGAGAGCAGTGTGCTGTCAGGCTAAGTTCCAGAGGTCTGACCTTGGGAGCAGTTCAGGGGTGGTGCTGGCATGGCCTCTCAGGGCTGACAAGGACAGGAGAAAGAATATTATCAAAGCATTGGAACAGTCTTGGCTGAAAAATGAGGTCTGTTGTGTTTGTGGAAAACAGACAAGAGGAACACCTGGAATATCCAGCTTGACCAGTCTAAAAATGAACCTTGAAGCTGCTAATGTTGCCTTTCCTCCCCAGCGTCCTCGCAGCACTGCAAGTTCTGGGACAGGAGCTCCCCACCCACTGCCCAGCTTCACCCCCTACGTGGACGAGTCAGCTCAGCCACAGATGATGTGAGTCTCAAGCTGGAAATGGGGATTGCATTAGGAATTGTCAAAGCTGCTTCCTGAGATTCTGACATGTTTTGCCAAGCCTTGAGATCTACAAGAATTTAAAAACCTGGGAGCCTGAGAGCAATTAGTGCTCCAGCTTGATGGCAAAGGCTTCACTGGAGGTTGCATGAGGACATGGGAAGTGTTCCCAGCACTGCTCATGATGTGGGAGCCTGTATCATATTTATATATGCTAATTAGCTTAACAGCTTAACTCGGTGTGTTCGCATAAAACCACAGTTACCTGTCCTAGGGTGCTGTTTGCTGTGGAGCAGCCCCAAACCAAGGCAGGCTCATGGCAGGTTTTCTGTCTTGGGAACTCTGCACAGTATTTCTGGAGTTTTATTCTGATACAAGCTGTCAGAGTTGCCATGACAACAGTGTTGCTTAGGTCGTGGAGGAGTGAGTGTGCTGCTTTGCCTGAAATTACCTCCCTGAAATGCTGATAAATCCCAGGAGATGGGGTGGTTTGGTTAGGGCAGGGGAGAATGCATTATTTTGCAAAGTTGCTGTACCTTTCTGTGGCTAATGATTGCCATGGAATACACAGGCCCTTCCTGAGAGAGAAGTGGAAGAGACTGATATTACAATTTCCACGACTCTGAATTGCATGGAATCAGGGAATGGTGAGAGGTTAACAGCATGGATTGCAAGTGGACTGCAGAATAGCTCTGACCAAGGACATGATATAGTTTAGTTGAAGAATATGTAAAAAAATTAAATTTCTGTTTAAACTGTGAGACTGTTTCTTGCTCCTGAAAGTCGATGATGGCACCAAATTAAGTCTTTGGTACACTGCTGTCTTGGATGAAGATTTGTTCCCTACAGAAGGCAGGGAGAGGGAAGGAGTGGGTGGAAACTGCACATCATGCTAAATTAGCTCTAAGCCACTTAGGCAGAGGCTTTGTATGTAGTTCCATATTATGCAGTTGAAAGTTAAAATGTAGATTTATTTATTTTTCCTGCCTTTGAGCCCATTTCCTCGTGATGCCAAAAACCAGATCAAGTCTGAAAGTCCTATGTGGAAACTGTAAACACGATGCAGATCACACTGTCACCACATCCTTGTGTGGGTTTTTGTGTGTGTTTGGGGTTTTTTTGTAATGGGCTCTTCATTTCTGTCACTCAGCACACCAAACATGCTTCCCCTCTTCTGGTATCTTGAATCTCCCATTTTTTTCTTAACCTAATATACCAGGTGTAGTCTAGTCCAAGATCTTCCATTTTTAAGTCCCTTTTTCTTCCTTGCCCCTCTTCTCTCAGATCACTCTGGTTTGTGGGAGGATTAGGGACTTGTCACCTCTGTGGTCACACAGATTGCTGGAGTGAAATGAAACTCAGACTCTGCTCCAGAACACACAACAATTCAGAGCATGATAAAAATGTTATTTGCTCCTGACTGGACCTTACTCTAACACTGTGGTTTGGGTTTGTTTTTTGACTGTTTTGTTTTATTTATTACACAGTTCTGAGTTATGTGCTGGCCTTTTATGTACTGTCATTCCCGTTTCCTTGTTGATTTTTTCTAGCAGATGCTGAAATTAGCCCTGTTCTCCCCTGTGCCTGCTTTTCTGTGCTGCAGGGAAGCACACATAACCCAAGTCATAAATTGATGCCTGTTTCAGGACTCCCTGCAAGATTGATCCCAGCATAAACTACGTGCTAAGTGCTCGCAAACCCGAGAGAGAGGAGGATCCACTCCGGCGAGTGCAGCAGCAGCGGCAGCAGGACCCTCAGGACAGGAAAGAGATGGTCATGTACTGCAAAGATAAGATTTATGCTGGAGTTGACGAATTCTCTTTTGAAGAGCTCCGAGCTGAAATCTACAGGAAGAAAACAAAGAAGAAAGCTGAAGGTATGCTCCAAAATGGGCTAAGTCAGACTTTGGAGTGTGGAATCAGAAGCTTGTATTTGCTTCTGTCTGTTATTGCAGCTGCTTTTCATTTCCTGCTGGAAGAGATATTTAACTGCTCTGAGGCCCAGGGACAGTAAAATATCTGACAGCTTTACACAGAAGCTGTGAAACTGGGAAAGACCATGGGAGGTTTTGGCTCTTTTGCAAGCTATTTAGGCTTTAGCCGCAGAGTGTATGTGAAATATGATTGGGCCTTACAAGCTTTTCTCCTTTAGAGGAGATGCAAGCCCTAGCAGAGAAGAAAGAAGAAATACAAAGGAAAATTGAGGAGCTGGAGAAGAAGTTAAAGAAGAAAGAAGATGATAAGCAGCAACAACCACACGAACAAGTATTGTCCTGATTTAACTGTTCTTTTACAAATAGTTGCAATTTTGAATAAAAGTGCCAAAGGAAGAACAATATCTCATATGTTTCTTGTTGGCTAACACATTTTAAACTCCTTTTGAAAGGATGCTTCACTAACAAAGTATGTTCACACTCTCTCTCTCTCCTCCTTCCCCATTTCCAAAACCATGCCATAGTAGTAAATCTTTTAAATAATGGAACACAAAACATTGTGACTTTGATGTCACAATGAAGCTACATAACTGCTTACATATATCTTTAGCAGCTGCAGGATAGCTAAAATCTCTTGTGAAATTTATATACAGTTGCAAAGAGTAAAATAATATGTTTTAACTATACTGAGAAATAAAAATGGACTTTTCCATGCATGTGAATTAAGTACAAATAAAAATGTCAAAAGACAACTATTAATCTCTGAGGGTTTTAGCTACCTGCACAGGATTATCATAATGTTTATGGAGCTTTGTTGCATGGTGTGTGATTCCATCACTGTAGAACCAAGTATGGTTGTGTTTCTGTAGGCACCAGAGGTAACAGAAGTTTCAGCATCTATGGGACTGCAAGGATTAACCTTATTCAGTGCAAGAGAAGCTGGGGAGAAACCACCTCCACTGCAAAGGTAATTCAGGATTTTCTTCACTAGCAACGAGAGTATTTGGGTGGACAATTAGTGTGAGTAACATGGATCACTAGCAGCCTGTGCCCACAGGCAGGACGGAACAGGCCCCTGGGTGTCAGCCTGCAGCCAGGATCTGTCATCCCTCTGCATGTATTTTTGTTATTTGTCCCAGGGATCTTAACTTCTTGCAAGTAGCACATGTCAGCTTGACTTGGCCGTTTTACAGAGTTTACTTGTGGTTTATGAAGGTGTGTAAAACAGAAGAAACAAGTTTATGTCTCTTTCACAGTGAATTCCAGGTCTGTGAAGATACTCAGCTACATAAACTGTCTTGTTCTGGGGGTAAGTATTTAAATGTTTGCCATTAAGAAGGTGATGGTAAAGGAAGTGTTCTTTTATATGAATAGCAAGACTGCAGCAATCTGGAAACAAGTCCAGGTGGATTAGAAGATTGAAAATGAGGATGTGCTAGTAGAGCCTTTAACCATATTTATCAAAAGACTGAGCAACTGAGGTCTGAGATCTGTCACTGAGCAGAAGAGCTTTTTTCTTTCAGTAGCTGGAGAGCTTTCTGCCATCCTTCATACAGGCAGTCTCACAGCAATCTCAAGAGTTTAATGCTACCATTAGATTGGCACTATCTTAAGTCCTTTTTCCTCAGAGGATTTGGCAGAGGGATACAACCAGAAATTCTATATTCACTTTTGTTGTTGGGGGGGTAAGTGCTGAAGTAATTTAATTTTGACCCAAATTGACTCCTATTTCTGCTGACAGAGTTTATCCTGACTCCTGATGTGTGTCCAGACACCCAGAGTGGAAATGTGTTTGTGTACTCCGAGGAGGAGCAGGGGCATGAGGCCAACCTTGAGAACAAAGGTACAAATTCTGAAGCACACTCTAAGATGAGTAAGTGAGCTCACATAAGGTGGTGGTGAAGGTGTGGTTCATTCATGTGACAGAACTAAGTCTTTTGAAATAGATTTAACTATAGTTAAAGTTCTGTAACTTCCTGCTAGGACCGGTATTTGTAAGATTGTGTATTAAATAATTTAACTAGCATTGGATACACTTTTGTGGCTAACCTGTTGATAAGAGCCCTTTGGTTTGTCCTTGCAGCTGTAGCTCTGCTCCCCCCACTGGCTCCGGCTCCATTTTTCTCTATATTCGATGAATCCTCTACTTTGACAAATCAGAATATAAGGTAGAATTATTCAAGACCTAGAATTGAGAGGGAGGGAAAACTGAAGTATCAAAGCACTTTCTTTAGCAGCTGGAAGAACTCTTCCTTAGAGGGGTGTGGGGTGGTGTTTGTTTATATTTGTGTTTATGTCATTACTGGGAGACCATGATGAGGAAATACTCTCCTGTTGTTCCTCCTCAGCCTAGAACTATTTCAGCTGCTGTATAAACTGTTCATTCTGGAGAGCTGTATATGTTGCATTCTGCAGTAGAATATGATAGATTGAAGTGATAAGTAGATTTAAACTCTTGAGAGGAATCTGTTGGAGATCGGAAGTTGCTCTAATAAGTGTTTAACAGAATGTAACTTTATCCTAGTGGCTCTGCAGCTCGTTCCCAGAAGAGCACTCGTCGCCCTCTTGCTGTGCGAAAACCTTTGGATTCTCTAACTGCAAAGGAGAACGTATCACCAGAAGTCTGTGTAAGGAAACTCTTTACCCCACAGCAGATTCGCTGTGAATGAGAAAGCAGCACAATCTGTCACACTGAGCGAGCTTGGCTGGACTGGTGTGATGTGCATGCAGCAAGGATTCCAAACTGCTGTCTGGCATGGCAGTACTTGAGCTGGGTGATGCTGAGACTGCACTGGAAATGTCATGTTGTAGTCTGAGCTGAGGAGGATTTCACATACAGCTACAACATGAAACACTTCGCAGGGTTAGGCATGGGAAGCATCACACTTTTGGTTCTAGAGTAAGTCTGGGCAACTGCATAGTTGTGCTTTACGTGCTTTGTATGTCTTCAATGCCCAGCATTTGATAAACACTTAATAAATGTGCTTGTAACTGACTGAAATGCGTTTATGAATTATGCAGTGGTAGATATTAAGGAGCGTTTAACTGCTCTGCAGCACTCTAGAAAGCCACAAAGCTTCTCTCTCTAGGTGGAGAAAATAAGCAATTACAGTTAGGGTTCAATGACTCCATCTGAATGAGCAATGTACAAAAGAAATCCTTCCCTGTGAGAGTGCTGAGGCACTGGCCCAGGTTGCCCAGAGAAGCTGTGGCTGCCTCATCCCTGGGAGTGTTCCAGGCCAGGTTGGATGGGGCTTGGAGCAACCTGGGCTGGTGGAAGGTGTTCCTGCCCATGGCAGGGGGTGGGATGAGATGATCCTTAAGGTCCTTCCACCCCTAACCAGTCTGGGTTCTGTAATACAGTTTCTGAAGACTGAGTGTCACTTTCATGTTGGAAGGTGATGGAGTGGATGAAAA